GGAGAGGAAAATTTGGCAAAAGGAGAAGGTGGATTGCATCTAAAACGCGGTTAACCACATCTGTAGTTGTTTTGCCTAATGCACCGCATCAGTAAAACTCATCATCTGTTGTTTCATCCAGTAAATAGTACAGAGCACTGAAGTAGATAGGGATGTAATAATAATGACTGTAGAGCCCTGCTAATGACTAATGGGTCCATTTAAGTCAAAGCCTCCTTCCTTTGAATTGAACTTCCTTTTTAAGCTGGAAAGGCTAATTCGAAACACCTCCAAATGGGTCACGGCACGATCCACCGCTTCTGTGTGTTTTCTAAGAATCACGAATCGGGATAAGCCCAAAGAGATCATTATCAACCAGCAAAATGGCGGCTTTGCACGGCTGATCCCACTATCTACCATCTAGATTCATCAGAACTGATGCAGCGGGGCCCTCGCTCGCCCCTTTACGCACAGCACGACCCACCTGCGCTCCTCCTCTGCTGTTATCTCATTTCAAAGTCATTTTTCTATAACCTTTACACACACACACACACACACACACACACACAAATGAGGGCACAGCCAAACTGCTGCTATGCGCAAAAGTGCATAATGTATTTGTGTTATCCCAGCGGGTGGTAATGGATTTCTATTAGTTCATACCGCAACAGAAAGCGGGGACAAAGGGAGTGGGGATGGTGATGGTCCCGCGCGTTCGGTGTGAAACAGACTTTGTGTGTCCGTAAAACTGACCAGGTTCGTGCGTCCCCGGATTGTCGGACATCTCTAGCACCAGCAGCTCGCGGCCTTCGAAGCTCTCCCCGATGGTATAGATGCGGGTGATGGTCGGACACTGCAGCCACACCGACACCAGCGCTTTCCGCAGCTCCTCATAGCGATGGTACTCGAAGGAGATCGCCCCGTCGGTACTGGCCGCGCTGACCAGGGTGACTACCGCAGCCCCGAGTACAACAACCGTAAGGAAGTGTTTCATTTTGACGCGTCCTCGTTTTCCTAAGCCTGTCTCCCTGCCTGCCGGCGGCTTGGCTCCGAGCCTTATCTCTGCGCTGCAGCCTCGCTTTAGGCTATAAATATCCTTCCCTCTGCCTCTCTCTCTCTTCCCTCTGAGTGTGATGCGCTGTACCTGAGCTCAGGCTCCCCGTCAACATACTGCGTAAAGCCAGCCACAACGAACCCCACATCCGGTCATAATTTTCAAAATAAACTGAAAAAGCCAAGATTTATTTAAATTGCTTATACACAAGGAAAACTCATTATTGATAATACAAGGAATAAAAAGGGAGGAGGATGGAATAAGAACGAAAAGTAAGCAAGACAACCCGCAGGTAGCAGCATGGACGTAATAAGTCAGTAGAAGAGTATGAATAAGCACAAATGACAAAATATTACAAAAACGTTTGTATTATGGCCCTTACAGCAACTCTTTCAGAGCATTATTTATGTTAAAACACGCACATTCATTTTAGAGAATGTATGCTGCTACAGCTTGAGATGCTTCTGTTGTCATTATTTCCTGCTCATTTTTGCTTTTTGTATCATTTTTTTCTTTTGTAGAAGATATTTTACACAATAATATACAATATTGCAAAATTAAGGACTATAATCCTAAACCTCACCCCCAACCAGGCATGGCAGATCGCTGCCCCTGCCTGAGCCTGGTTCAGCCAGAGGTTTCTTCCTGTTAAAAGGGAGTTTTTCCTTCTCACTGTTCTCAAGTGCTTGCTCATACAGGGTTTTTACCTTACAATATAAAGCACCTTGAGGTGACTGTTGTTGTGATTTGGAGTTATAAAATAAAAATTAACTGAGCTTTCACCCATTTAAACTTTTTTTATACACTTAAGTAATTTTTCAAAACAATTTTTCAAAACTTTCAGACATGGTTTTAGGCTGTTGAGCAGCACAGTTCACCAAAGCTGTGGTATTAATGTAAAAAGAAAAGGTGTTTTTATTTATTTGTGTGCCATAAACAATTAGAATTTGCCAGTTTTATGTATCGAGTTTTTCCCGGGTCACATAAAATGCCTCACTTCCTCTTTGGTCCTGCCTGCTGTTGGCTCACTTGATGCAGCTGCCTGTGTGTGCAGGATGGAGCTGTGGGGGTGTGTCCACAGTGCAGCAGTGAACCAACTCCATGTACACCGAAAGGCCACAACATTAAAACCACTGACAGATGAAATGAAAAACACTTATCATTTTTGAGAAGATGCTATCTTCACCCAGCAAGCCTCTGGAATGCTACTTCGACACATACAATGGGCCTAAGCATGGTAGCACTTAGTCAGTGTTTCCACTCACTATATTAAAAAAATGTCAATTTAGCAGTAATGGATAAATTTATAGCTCGTTGGCACACATGTTCTTCTCTGACTAAATTCAGAAAAACAAAACTGCTACAGCAACAACTCCTGTTTAAATTTGTTCACATATTTTATTCTGACAAAAACAGAAAAAACACCAAAGATTTTTTATTTTATATAAAATTAGAGCAACATTTAATTATTTTTACAGGCTTGAATGACCTAGAACACATCCCCTTTTCATCAATAATTTACAGTTTGCATCAAACACGCCTGACTGGTTTGTTTTCAAAAGTCTGCATTGAGTTTATACAGTTTCCACCGAAGTACAGATTCAACTACAGGAAGGAAAGACCACATCAGATCAATTAGAGGAAGTGCTAAAGTGCTGAGACATTCAGAGGGTTAAAGAAGCATTTAAGTTTAAGCCTTTTGAAAACAAAGTAAAATCGAAATGAGGACTTGATGGTTTTTATTCAGCCAGCTGTTGGAATAAAAAAAAACAGACATTGCTTCTTTTCTAAGGTACAGAAGGCAGACCGAATCAACACGCAGTCTGATTCATAATCAAACCACAGATGTGCTGACTCGTTTTTTAAAAACAACTTTTGCATGTGTTTTATTAAGTGTACAGAGATGAAAATCAGCAGTAATTGCATGGTTTTGTCTGTGCGGCTCACTGCCTCTTCTCCACCTGACAGGACAGGCGTGTGTCCATGAAGGGAGACTTGAGCAGTTTACTGCGTCTTCTTATCTGTCTGCTTCTGCATGTAGCTGTTGTACTGGCTGTCTGTCTTCAGCAGTTTGTCCCACCACGTGAAGGTGGAGGCGTAGTTCCCGACAAAGTTCATGTGGTGGAAGTCGTGGAAACGAGCGCCAGCGTAGAACGGGATCAGGTGGAGCGGGTTCAAGGGAATGTCGTAACCGCTAAGAGAAATAAGAAGAGGAAAAAAGATATGTCATAATGTCACCCAAAAAGTGACCAACTTTCACAAATGTGTAAAAATCTTTGATGATAACTATCCTTCTAAAACAAAAACATTTGTCTTTTTCAGAAAGCAGAATGGTTCTCAAAGTCTGTTACTGAAGAAAAGATGGGTTTAACTTGGCTCTGTCCTCAGGCTGATGTTTTCAGTTTTAGAAGAGTGCACAGAATATTTGTACGAGACTACTTAAGCTTGGTTAATCGGTTAATAAGTTTGAATCATTTTACTTATATCACAAGAAATTAAATAATAAAAAGAAAAAATCAATTGACAGATGGAAAGGGCGCATGTCGTAGCTTCAGCTTATGAACCCCTAACCCTGATTTTAAAATAATTGACACTTTAAATGAACAAATGAAATCAACAACATCGGCAATCTCTGATAGAATCATGACAAAAGAAGAAGCAAGAAAGATTAAACCAATTGATGTCAATCTCAGACATATGGGAACTTTGTATCTAAAGCATTTTCACACAAAACATTCATCACAATACTGAATAATGATGTTAGTTATGTTCCTTTTAAACCGTTTTAGTATGCTGTACATTTTACACATTTTAATTTTGTCAAATTTCAACACTTCACATTGGCCCTAACCTTAGGTAACAATGCAAATGTTTATGATCTGCTTTACTTTGACTGTTAATTTGCTTCATTATTTATAATGTTTAATGTTGATTGTTATCAAACTTATCAAACTGTTTTTCCTGAGTTTTCTGAATATCTTGACCTGAGCCTTTCTTAAAAAGACGCTATACAAATAAATGTATAATTTTGATTATTATTATTATTATTATTATTATTATTATTATTATTATACAGTAAACATTGTTTTCATAGAAAAAGTTAATTAAATATTATTGTCAAAAGTACTATTTCTAAACTACAAATGTGTGATAATGTGTCCTGTATTAACACAAAGGAGTTCATGAAGACTGTTTAACAGAACATCTGATGAGCTCTGTGGCCCCCTAGAGGACGACCTCAACACACCACAAACTAAAGTTAAGATGTATGCTTAATCAGTTTGATTGGGCTCAGTGATGAAGCTGTAAAATAAAAATGAGTGAAAACAAACTACATTGTTCTATTTACAGCCACCATAATAAACCATCTGGCACAAGGCTGTTTCTGGACAAGAGGTTCAGCTTAAATAGGAATTAAAACCTCCAACTTCTCTCCTCACTCCCCCCACCTGCATCTTTCCCACAAATCTCATTGGGTTAAAGGGAGAGAATGAGAGAAGGAGAGAGATGCAAGGTTCCTGTGCTTCCTTGAGCTGCATTTAAGAGACTGAAAGATCATCTTTGATTGTGGAATGATTTTCAGGAAAGCGAGGAGTTATTTAGTAAAAAGGAAAGCGCCCACTGTGTCCTACCTGTGGACATCGATGGTCTCCATCAGACGGAAGGCGACCCAGGCCCAGAGCAATAACACGTGGTTGCAGAAGATCATGATGCCAATGAAGAAGCCAGCCCCGAGGATGATCGTCTCAGCGGGGTGAGCGTATTCTGCCTGCATGCCAAACGGAGCCTGAGGCAAAGGAGAGACATGCTGACTGTACGTACACATAGTGGGGTTTTTTGTTGTTGTTTTTTTTTTATTGTAAACAGCTGCTAAAACACGCTTAATAAGTAACTCTTCCGTAAACAGACTCAGCAGAAAGCTGTGTTTATTGATCTTATCACTCATCTGTTTTACTCACAGTGAAATCGTGGTGGACTTTGTGGATGTACTTGTAGATCCGGCGGTGATGCAGTATGCGATGAAGGAAATAGTGCCAGGCATCCTCAACAACAGCACAGCCGAAGCACTGAGCCAGGAGATATGGCCTGGAGAAGAAGGCCAAGAGAGGAGGTTTACAAAAGCACACTGAAATTATCCCAACAGACAGATCTGACAGACAATTAGCAGCATGTGGAACAACTGTGTTACATGTATAAAGCATATTCAAATGTTCCCTTTCTATTTAGAAGCAGATCAACATATCAGGTCATGTATAATAAAAAAGTATATTTTTATATAAATTATTGCTGTGCAAGAGCTTTAAAGTTTTAAAGAGTCTCATTGTAACCATAATTATTGTATTTAGGGAGTCCACATTTGATTTCAAGGTTACACTTGGGTAAATAAAGCTGGGTTAATACCAGTGTCAACATGATGTCAATACATTTTTTTTAAATCCTATAGTTGTGGTTAATAGCAATATGACAGTTGTGTAACTGTTCTACTCTATGTCTAGGTCACTTTAATCCATTTAGGTGTGCATTATTGATCTGCACTGACCAGCGTGGCATGGAGTCCCAGTCATAAGGAATGTTGAAATACTCGGTGAAGTAGTAAGTGCCAAAGATCAAAGGCAGCTGGATGCAGAAATGGTTGAAAAGCAGCATCTTGAAACACCTCCACTGTTTCTCCCACGTCTCTGGCTTGTCCTGAAAAAAAAAATCCAAAGGGATTTGTGTCACTTCCCGGGGATAAGGAGAATGCGTAAACCATCCATCTTCAAACAAACAAACAAATAAAAAACAACATCAATATCCAACAATTTAAAAAAAAAAAAACAAACCTGCTGAATCTTGTATTTTTGCATGAAAGGCAGGAACTGGAAGAGAAAACCGGGCAGGCAGAACAGGAAATAAATTAACTCGTGGACGATGAGTGAGCCCCAGGTGGCAATCTGGAATTTGGTGTAGTTGTCCAGCATGTAGCCCCAGGCGTGTTTCAGGGAGGGCTGGAACGGGTTTTCTGGCAGAACAGCATCAACATACTCGACTGCAAGATAGGCAGAGCTCAAAATGTTTGCAGTGCCGTTCACCGCCATGCTGAAAGATAATGCAAGCTGGCTGCAGGTCAGGAGAGAGGCC